TACTGGGAGCCCTGAGATGAAGCCAACACACAGCTGTGTCCTGGGTTCAGTCGACAGCTCCCTAAAATGGCATCTGAGCAAGCCCCCGCTCCAGGGCAGGCGGAAGTCGCCTGGACTGCAGTCACTCTCCAGCTGTTGTAGTTCATAGCACCCGCTGCTCCACCCACTGGCGAGATTCTCCCTAGAGTCTTCTGGAGGCACGTGCCCTTGCTGTGCCTTTATAGATTCAAGCCTCCTCTCTCACACCGAAAGCCAGGAGTTGGGGAGAAAGTGCAGTTCGCCACCTCCTTTTTCTGCACTGAGGTCTGCTTCTTCACTTTCTCTGTGGGCTGCAGTTTTCCCTCCAGATCCTTCTTGGGTCTCAGGGATCCACCTCCCCACTTCTCTTCTTCCCCAAGCTGTTATTTGCAGTGTCTGGATTCCAAATCTCTGAGAGGATGATTTGTTGTTGTTTACCACTCCACTGTCTTCCCAGAACCGTACATAATTTTTAACTCATGAACCAAAAAAAGCCACACATTATGTTTCTTTTAAACAGTTATTCAACTGACTTTCCAGCTTCAAATCTGGAGGTAAATTTTCCTTGAGAGGATATTAAGTGCCAGGCATTACACCTGCAATCCCAGCACTCAGGAGGCTGAAGCAGGAGGATTGCTGCGAGTTCAGCACCAGCCTGGGCTACACAGTGAGTTCAAGACCAACCTGAACTACATAATGAGACTCTGCCCTAAAAAGCAAACAAACAAAGCAAACCAAACAATAAGAAAAGGATCTCAAGTACTAATATCTTTATTTTTTTTAATTTTTATATTTTATTAGTACATGTTTGCAGTACATAATGATTACATTCCTCATGGGGAGTTGGTATATGTACATAACATTTCCATTATTTTTTCAAGTACCCATATCTTCAAATGGTGATAATCTGTTGAGTCCCAGAAATTCATAATTTTATATCATGTATGTCACATATTCAAATTCTTGTATCTTTCATAGCACATTAACAAAATTATGAGGAAAAGCGGACTACCAGGTCCAAAGATGTTGCAAAGTGCACACGATTCTGTCAGAGTAGTGATCAGGGAGTCGTTTTCTTTAGGAAACAGTTCTGCTAAGTAATATGGCTGTGCTTTATATTGTAGGATGTAAGACTAATCCCCACCTATGCAGTGTTAAACTGACACCTAACGTCAGAGCTTCCTATAACTCAATATCCCACTATTTTCTGGTTGTACCAAACAATAAAAAACTAGTGAGTGGTTTCACCTTTAAAAAAAGTCACCCTAATTTCAAAAAATGGGATGAATGGAATTCTTTTTAAAAATACTTCTATGAAAATGTTATGTACATGTACCAGCTTCCCATAAGGAGTGTGATCATTTTGTACTACATATTTTTACTAATAAAAAATTCATTGATTGTTTAAAAAAAAGTTTCTAAAGCTACTGAATATTGCATTGAAGAAATAGGTGATAAAAGTAATCCTATGGCCAGGTATGGTGGCGCATGCCTGTAATCCCAGCAGTCAGGAGGCTGAGGCAGGAGGATTGTTGCGAGTTCAAGGCAAGCCTGGGCCTCAAAGTGAGCTCAAGGCCAGCCTGAACTGCATAGCGAGACTCTGTCTCAAAAAGGCAAAAAAAAAAAAAAAAAAAAAAACAAAAGCCATAATCCTATGGATTGGAAAAGAAGGAAGACAGGGCCCACCAGTAAGCTATGGTGTGCAATTGATCAGCCTGGGCGTCTTTCGCCCCTGGTTCATCAGAGGCTCGAGTCCCCTAGCTTTTAGTTTCTGTTTTCTGCAGGTAAGTCTGGCTACTGGGGTTTGTTTTCGTTCTGCGCATCCCCACCCTGTGTGATAATAAATGCTTGCTTTTAAAAAGTTAAATCTTACATTTTAACTTACTTGGTTTCTGCCCCCTACCAACCTTAGTGCTCTTCCAACCAGGTAACTCAACATCGTCTGTTTTAACTGTATTTCTCTCCACGCCTGTATAGCCATACATAGAAAAAGATACAGATATATACACATTATTTAGTGCACTGTCTTTTTTTAATTAAATTGAGAGTGTATTATATACACTCTTCTGCAACTTTCATTTTCTTCTCTCAAAAAATACATCATGGAAATCTTTCTGATTCATTCTTTTTTTTTTTTGTCTTTTTGAGACAGGGTCTTGCTGTGCAGTTCAGGCTGGACTTGAGCTCACTTTGTACCCAGGCTGGTCTCAAACTTGCAACAATCCTCCTGCCTCAGCCTCCCAAGTGCTGGGATTACAACATGCACCACCACTCCTGGCCTGATTCATTCTTCTAGATGACTGCATTGTAATTCATGGTATGTAATAACCGAATGTAATCATTTATCGGTAGATGGGCATTCACAACTGCTTCTTTTTTTCTCCACAATGAACAATGCTGCAATAAACATCTGCGTACATACATTGTGCTTTTAAAAACTTTGAGCATGTTTTAAAATCGTTTTTTGTGGGGTGCTCATCTTAAGGCTTTATGCATGCTGGGCAAAGATTCTACTACTGAGCTGTATTTCCAGGCCCCATTTAAAAATCTTTATTGATGTTAACATTTGTACAAAACATAGAACACATTTCAGAAAGATAAAACTCACACAGTATACAGCTTAATCTTACACAGTAATGATCCTTGTAACCAGCACCTTGCTCAAAAATAGAAAATTACTATTATCCAGGAAATTTCTTTTGTACCGCCTTCTAGCTAAAGAGGGCATTAAGTAGACTTCTGAGATTATAACTTACATGAACTTCTGCATATTTTTGAACTTCATTTATAGTGGAATTTTAAAAATTGTTTTATTAGTTTACATTGGCAGTACATAACGTACACAACATTTCCATTCCAGGTAGGGAGTTTCTACATATACTAGCACATCTTAGTTCTTTTTTTTAACGCCCTTCCCCTCCCTTCCCCCTTCCTTCCATCTCAGTTCCCTTCCCATTTGAGAAAGATCTCCTTATTTCCTATTATCTTTTATTTTGTTCTTTATTTACAACTGAGATTTGTTACTGAATAAACTTTGTCTTACTGCTTCCCTAAGAACCTGTAGCACTTATTTTTACCAGCTAAGCCTGTGTGTAAGAGAGTATCTTCTGCAGCTCGGGTAGTAATATGTCAATACGCTTTCTTTTTTTGTTGTTGTTGGTTGCCTTGATAAAATGTTTCATTAAACAACTAAAACATCTTAAGGTGAGCAAACCAAGGCTGAAGAACTCAATGTACAGCAAACTTCAGAGCGAGGCTGTCTCCTTCAACGTGATCTCATGCTTTGAATTTTGAAAACCAAGGCAAGAATCACCCATTCGAAGGGAAAAGAGCCTTCCCAGAATTTTGTCGTTAAGAAGACTGCATCAAACTGTCCCCAAGTGTTTGTTTGCTTCGGTATACGAGACAGGAAAACCACAGGTTGTTAACAAGAGTAACTACAGTTTAAAACAAAATGCCTCTGGAATTTGCAGTGTTTGGGGGCATGGTGCAAAACATTTTTTGTAGTAGATAAACATGGCCTTTAAAAGAAGCTCTTTACTCAAGAAAAAATTAAAAACAAACCACAACACCCATCCCCCTAAAAACAAACCCAAGTGAGAGTTTAAAGGGCCTGACCGTGTCACTCGGTTCAGCCCCTGGTGTTTCCGGGGTCGTGAAGCACAGCGGGGCACAGCGGGCGAAGTGGGAAGGGCAGCACGGGGTTATTTCCGTAAACTCTCACCGAGCTGCCAGTTGGGAAGAAATCAACATAAAAAGGCGTTGGAGGAGGCCACCGGCAGCTTTAACGCGCTCCTCCGGCCGCCGCGCGTGCTGCCTGCCTGGCCCGGCCCAGGCTATCAAGCCGTCTTTTACTACTCTTGCCCTTAGCTCCTCTCCTGGAGTTGGAACCTGGCTCTGCCTCTGTTCTGCCCCCAAGTCTCTTGGCGATTGTTAGTGTGGAAAAGCAGTTGTACAGGGCACGGATCTTAGCGTCGGAACTATCTGGCTTCGATCCTGCGTCGTCTGTTACTGAACAGCTCACTCGATCTGAGGCGGCGCGTGGACCAGCGTTGCACAGCAGGGCCTGGTGTGGTGATGGAAGTGGCCTACAGCTGCCCTGTGCGCGATGGCAGCCACGACCATACGTGGCTGTTGGGCACCTGGTACGTGGCTAGTGTGACCGGGGAACAGAAGTTTGAACTGTAATTTTAGTTAACTAAATAGCCGTGTAATAACGATGAGCATACCAAGTGCAGCAAGTCTAGAAAATGTGCACTTCCCCTCATGAAGGCTGAGTGTGTGACGACGGATGTGAAATAGACAAATCCTGGTCAAGGTTCTCCTTCGGAGCTACTCCCATTCAGGCCTGGAAGACCTTGAAAGCACTGCAGCCAACCCCACTCAAGCACCCGCCCTGCTGCTGGCGGTGGGGAGTGCGCCAGAGGGAGGCGCAACAAGACTGTTTAATCCTTGCCTGAGGATGCACAGATGCACTGTGGGAAAAACAAGTTTGCTTCTTTTCCTCATTTTTTTGATCCTTTAGACAACTACATCTTCAGAAAGCCTTACCTTAGGTTCTTATGTGATACTGCTTGATGTTTCCCGACGGAAAATGTTTCTCTTTTTCTTCAGTTATATTAATTACACTGTTACGAACCAGCTACTTTAGCCAGTGAGGAATCCGCACAGGTGAAGGATGTATGCAAACAGCAAGTTGTGCTGGCTGGAGGCACACGTCTATAGCTCCAGCACTCTGGTAGGCTGAGGCAGGAGACTGGCAAGCTCAAGCAAGCCTGGGCAACCTAGTGACTTAGCAAGACCTGGTTTTTAATAAAAAATTTAAAAAGAGGTTGGGGATGTAGTTCATTGTGAGGGTTTTAGGTTCAATCTACAATACTGAAAAAATTATATACATATACAATTACATATATTTACAATTGTATATAATTGTGTATATATAGTCAAAGACATCTTTTGTAGAAAAAATCAAACAGCACTGATTTTATTTTGTAGTGTTTATTACAGGAAAGGTTACTATTATGAAACATTAATGAATTTGATCCATATCTTATTTTCCACTTGGGTTTTAAACATTTTACATTTTTTTAATAAGCAGTAACTTCTGTGTTGTATAGTTTGTTTTTTCCTAACCCTTGGATTATTATAGTTTCAAGTAACTAAAAAATAAAAACACTGTAGACTAAGTGTACTGATACATACATGTTGAAACATTTAATTACCACAGTAATTAAAAAGTTCTGGGCTTTATTTCTTCCCATTCTGTTTTTTTTTTTTTTTTGTACTGGGAATCCAACTCATGACCTCAGACTTTCCAGGCAAGCGCTTAAGCCACTGAGCTATATCCCTGGCTTTATTTCTTAAGATGAAAATTCATGAACACGAAGTCACTTAAGCATCTCTGGGATTTCTCTGTTATCCACAATGAGACTATGAACAATCCCTTCTTTCCGCTTCCCGCTGCTGACAGCCTTTATGTAACAGTCGTGGTTCCCAACGCTGAAGTGGGTCTCAGTCCCGTCATCTACAAACTCACCCTAGGACAACAAGACAGGAACCGATTAGCATTCCAAAATACCCCTCTCCGCCCGCAGCACCAACACCACCCAAAAGTAGGGGTAGGGCTACGGACATATCTCAGCAGCAGAGCACTTGCTGAAGTCAGGCAAGGCCCTGGTTCAGTGCCTAGTACTGCACTGAAAATAAAGAGCACTGGTGCTACCACGTACAACAGTAAAATCTAAAGCTTGTATTCGGGTACTTTTACATCTGTTATGAACTGAAAGTTTCTTTTTATGATCCCTACCATCCTTAAGAATCTTAAGTTTTGTGGGGAGGGAATGTACACCTGACTATGTGTCTATAACACAGACTGTGTTCTCAAAAGTAAAAATGAACATGAGGCATTTCTCAGTTACTTATACCAAGAACAGTGTACATGCATAATTTCACTGCATCCTTACAGCCACCCTGCAGAAATACTGTACTATGACCACCCCATTTTACAGATATGGAAATTGAGAAATGGTGGTTATTAAATAATTTGCTAAATGCCCCAGTCAGTACAGGAGGATGAAGTATTCTTAATGTGAAGATTTGATTTCCCAGAGTATAAGGTGGTTTAGAATAAAATATGCACACATAAAACCAGACACCAGTAATGTGACTCGTCTGAAATGAAATATGCTGTTTAAAATATATACTGAATTTGAAAGACTCAGTAGGAAAAAGTAGTTAAAATAACAACCTGTTGATTATATATTAAATGATACTTAAGTATAATTCACTTTAAATTTTTTTTACTGTGACTAATGGAAAGAATTTATACCTGAGGCTCATACCCATGGCTCCTGTTATATTTCTATTGAAAAGCACTGGTCTAGAGTAAGAGGTAGGAGCAAAGGAGCAAAGGGAAGGCAGGAGAGGCTTAGAGGACAAAAATTAAATATGCTAAAAAGCAAACATGACAAGCGGACTTGAAACTTGACTATGAGCATCATGACGTTCCAAGCAGAGAGCGCAAGGCTCCTTAGCCAACATTACCTAGGCGATGAAAGCACAGCAAACATCAGGGAGAGAAGCTCTTTGCTGCCTCAGAGAAGTACTGGCCCACGGCTCTCTCGGCGTGGTACACTGACCCACCACCACACACATTTTCTTGAACGCAGCGTGCTTCCCCCTCTTTTAGCCTAGGCTTTGGAAAAAAAGGCTTGGGAGGGCAGGGCAGGGGCGGAGTCCCTTCTTGGCAACTGGCCAAACTCATAATTTTGGTCCCGAGATGAAGAAAAGGGGTGAAGTAGGCTGTCACTCACCAGCAGCAGGAGCAGTATGGTGCGCATGTGTACAGACTGGGGATGGAAAGCTGCCTGACACCGAGCTGCTCGATCTGCCCTGCAACTGGATTGTAGTTACAGTGGGGGGAGACTGGCTACAAAGAGCTATTTTCGAAGCATTGTGGTTTCCTGTCAGTTACTAAGGAACACGGGTATTGTGGATGATTATTATTTTTACCTTCAAACCATGTTCTTTTTTTCTCCCAGTGCTGGGGATGGAACCGAGTTTTGTGCACACTACACTAACATTTTACCATTAAGCTACAGCCCCAGCCCTAGCAGCACACTCTTCACACCATAGAACAACATTCTCTTTACATTTATACGGGAACATTCCTTCCAAGTGGGAGGAAATGTGATTCAAAAGTGCTGGTTCAGCCAGGCGTGGTGGCGCACACCTGTAATCCCAGCACTCAGGAGGCTGAGGCAGGAGGATCGTTGTGAGTTCGAGACCAGCCTGGGCTACAAAGTGAGCTCAAGGCCAGCCTGAACTGCATAGCGAGACCCTGTCTCAAAAAGACAAAAAAAAAAAAGTGCTGGTTCTCCATCCAGGGAATTCCGGGGTAGGAAGGAGGGAGGACCAGAGGTGCAGTACAAGGCACAGCAGGGACCACACTGTGTTCACGGAGACTGCAGCAATTCCAAGAGGGCCACAAGATGACTTGTCTTCTGGGGTTTGTGACAGTACCCTTCTACTTTTCATAATATCTGATATTATGTGCATCGTTTCTTAAAAAAAAACAAACAGAACTGGCTTTTAGAAAAGTGTATCTGTTTTGGGAATCTGCTGCAGGGCTTGCTACTCTAAGTATAATCTGTGGGCCAACAACACTGACAGCATTAAGGTGAATGCTGTAATTTATATTTTAACAAGATCCCAGCTGATGTCTATCCATGGAAGTGTGAGAACCAGTGGTATAAAGCGTTACTTCATATGTTCGTACAGATAAACACAAAGGATGCCAGCCTTTCCGGAAGGAATTCTTCAATGTGAGGACTCTCTAGGGTAAGAGCCCAGTCCAGGAAAGGCAAGGAAACGGCTGAGGCCAGCTCAGAACACAGGTGGCTTCCAAGTGTCACTGCCCCAGGCAAGGTTTTCAGAATTTGGAGTCAAGAACACTTAATTGTGGGGCCGGAGATTTAGCTCAGTGGCACAGCATCCGCCTGGCAAGCACGAGGTCCTGAGTTTGATTCCTAGTACCCCCCCAAAGAACACTTAATTTCTCTTTTGTTTCTACCTGGAGGACCTTGGTTAATTACAAACGCTAGAAGTAATATTTCAATGGTCACTCATACACAGGGCACTAAGAATAACCAAAAGACCAACCTACCGCTGTCTCCATCTTTTTCCCATTGCACCATACGTCCATAGTGTCCTTTTCTGTAAAAGTAACACAAATTGTAAGTGGTCATTCTGTGATTTAAAGGTAAAGTCACATTTTCATATTTATTATTTTAGGAAAAGTTTCATAAACTGGATTACCAGAAATCTAAAACAACACTATTATGGCTTTAAAGTATATTAAAATTTGAGACTACACATTTTTTATTTAAAGAGAACAAAACTGAAACAAAACAATCTTTTAAAGGAAAATCAAGGTCCCAATACAAATTCATGAAGTTGTTAAACACAGTAAATCCTGAAGGGCCATCTTTAAAGAAGAATGCATATAAATGAATGTGAGGGATTCTTCTCCACAAAACGTTAATATCAGTGACTAAGTAAGTCCCACAAGCTCCTACACTTGGACAATGGCAAAATGATCACCCAAAGAAATTGCCCGAGGCTCATACAGGACGGACAATATATCAGCTTTACAGAAACGGAGTCTTCAGAGTCTTACTGGGTACACAATCATCTATATTCGTTTTTTGGGGGAGGAGGTACTGGGAATTGAACTCAGGACCTCACGCTTGCCAGGCAGGTGCTGTGCTACTGAGCTAAATCTCCAGCCCCTATATTCAGTTTTATAATGGCTTCACTTTGGGAAAAATTATTTAAAAGTAAGAGAAAAAAGGTATCACCAGTGGACTGGCCACACAAACGGAGAACAAGATGCTTCCAGAATACATTTTTGCATCAGTTAACTTGCCATAGCTTACTTCAGGCTACAGCAGTGATGGTGAACCTTTCAGAGCTTTCAATTGTAACACACAGCCGGCTGTGGCACTACGGTTCGCCAGCAGTGGGCTATGAGAATCCGCAGACCCCCTGCAAGTGTTAAGAGTCTTGGGAAGTGGCAGAAGACTGCACTGATCAAGCAGCTAAAAGAGGGGGAAAGAGACAGAGTACATGTACTTGTGACCTGAATGTGCACAAGGAGTCTAAGGGCAAAAACCTGAGTCAGGGCCAAGTTCAGATCTCCAGTGAACGGTCTGACTCTGGCAGGCCATTTGCTCTAGCAGCACCATCTAAAGCAGCTTTTCCGCTCACACCATAAGAAGGTGCCTCCCTTACAGCGGAGAAGAGGTTTTGAGGTGGCTAAGGGAGACCAGAGAAAAAGGAAGACAGGAGATATGGACAAGGGTCACCCGAAAGACAGGCTGAGTGGGGAGCACCTGAGGTCGCAGCTGGAGGGAAGTCCAGCTTGTCCCAACACAGGTCAGAGCACGCAGTACTGACATAAAGTACAGTGGTGATGAGAACTGATGTCTTAGTTATTGTACCCACTCAATACGTGCACGTACCCAGATTTTCTATAATGGCTTACTGGCACACCGCTGGGGAACCCTGCTAGTCTAGAAGCCAAAAAGAAAAATGAAAAGTCTGACTTCATAAACGTAAAAAAGAAATCTGCATGATGCAAAATATTATGTATACACACAAGTGAAGTCAAACAATAAATAACAAACTGGAGAAAAAATATTTGAAACTAGACAGTTTTACTAATATGAGGACTCCTAGAAAAGAGAAAAAGTCCAACAACCCAAAGAAAATGGAAGCAAAGGACACAAAAAGAAATGAAAAAGTAACTTACACATATGAAAACATGCCTCACTCAGTGTGTGTGTGTGTGTGTGTGTGTGTGTGTGTGTGTGTGTTTGAGACAAGGTCTCACTATGCAGTTCAGGCTGGCCTTGAGCTCACTTTATAGCCCAGGCTGATCTCGAACTCGCAACGATCCTCCTGCCTCAGCCTCCTGAGTGCTGGAATCACAGGCTTGCGCCACCACGCCAAGCTGCCTCACTCAATTTTGAACAGGGCAAATAGAAACAATATTGAAATACAATTTTTCACGTAACGACGTGTGAAAAAAAAAATCCAAGTCTAGCAACACTCTCTGTTGGAGAACTTAAAGGAAAATAAGTACTATGGGGCAACATGGCAGAACCCACTACTATGACAAAGGCAATTATTCTTTGATTTCTGAATCCTACTTCCCACTTCTAAGAATCTGTACTAAAATGAGAAGTGCACTAAATTCTTAGAGGCATATGAACAAAGCTACTTGTCTCTGCTTCTAAAAGCAATATATCAGAAACAGCCCAAGTGTCCATTACTTGGGGTTAAGCTAAATATACTGTTCACTATTAAAATTTACTATGCCACTATAGAAAAACAAAAAAGTTCTTTATGTACTAATATAAAGATCTTCAGAATATACTAAGTGAATAAAGTGAGATGCACTTGTGTAACAAGACAGTAATAAAATATTTGTATTTCTTGAATCTGAATAAAGAATGCTAAAAGAACACACTATTAAAAATGGTTATCTTCAGGAGGCCAAGGCAGGAGTATCACTTAAACCCAGACTGAGGAAAACCTGGACCACACAAGACAAAGCCTGTCTTAAAAAAATGGAGGCGGGGGGGGGGGGGAGCTGTTTTTATGGAGGTGGAAGAAACACGGGATGAGAACAGGAATCAAAGCAAGATTTCTCAACGTACCTTTATACCACTGTGATTTCTAAATCACATGAACATAGGACCTATTGAAAATGATAAATCAAAGAGCGCATGTATCTGACAAAACATCAACTCCCTTACAGCTCAGAAGCGCGCTGGGTAAATGATGGGGGCCTGCAGCACGTCCATGTGGGAGTCTCTCCTCTACTTGCCCACACGTCCCTCGGCTCCAACACCCACAGCCAGGGGATTCCACAGGTGAGTCCCGAGCAGGCACGCTCTAGAAATGTTTCCTGAGAAGTGAAAGTTTTCAGAACAGGAAGAGAATTTCCTCCACAAGAACGTTCTTCGAACACTACTGTCCCCCTGTGGTCTTATTTTCCTCCTGAAGTATTCACCAGGTGTCTACTACCAGACCTAAAGATTCTAATCAGTGCTATCTTCAGTCCTCTTAGATGCCTTACATGTTGAGAATGCTAAAAAAGAATGTACATACTTTTTGGGGTCAGCTTCCAGTTTTATTCTTTACCAGCGCTACCACTTTGGCCTCAATTTCTTCATAGATAAATGAAGATGGTATCACTTTTCTTAGAGGCTGGGAATAATAATGGTTAGGACTAACTTATGTAGTGTGCAGAACAGTAGTTAGCACAACATATGACCTCAGTAATTCATAATGCTTTTGTTATCAAAACCTTTTCGTGGCTTGAGAGAGAGAGAGAGAGAGAGAGAGAGAGAGAGAGAGAGAGAGAGAGAGAGTTTGTTTGGTTTACCATAAGATTCTAGGGAAGCCCATTCTTCATCCACAAATAATAAAAATTACAAATACTATTTTGAAAGAATTCACTCTGTGAAATACACTGCTAAGTACTTCACACATACTAACTCAATTAACTCTTATCCAGAAGGGGAAAGCAAAGCTCAAGAGTTTAAGTGACTTGCACACCATGCAGCTCTGACTCTGGAGCCCGCATTCTTCATCACTAATCAAATGTCAGCCTTAGAACACTGTAGTTCGAGGGACTGGTGGAACTTACGACTGGAACTCCGGACAATATGAATACCCCAGACAATTCTGCCTTCACCTTAGAAAATGACTGTGCCTTGTCTTCCTACCAGGCCCCTTCCAGCCAGGCAGCAAAAGGGACAAGTTTGGTTCGAACTCTGTCTCCCCTCAGGTTCATCATAAGGTACAGAAGAGTAAAGGCAGACAAGGAATGTGTGTGTGTCTGGACGTACCCCAAAGCCTCATGTGGTCATGGGGGGTGGGTTTCTTGAGGTGACTTAAGTCTAGAGTTTGGATTGGTTCATTGTCTAGTGCTGGAATTGATGGTGTGAGCGCTACCCCTGCCCTAGGGCAGGTAGCCTGCATACAATATGAGGGAGGAGGAAAAGAGGCTTGCTCCTCCCTTTTGCCCCCTTTGTTCTTGTTGCTTTTGCTGTCTTCTGTTACGCAAGCCACTATTTTCCCTATGAAGAGTTAGTATTAACTGTTTTATAATGTTGGCAAAATAGTTTATCAAGTTAGTTAAAGGCCTAAAATTACTGTAAAGGCTTTTGTCCTCATCAGTAAAAGCCCCATGTGTTTAAATGTGTTGACACTAATTCTAACCCTTTCAAAATTAAAGTTTCCATTAGTAAATAATGAGATACAATGGTTCTAAAACTTTATTGTAGATTGAGTCACCCCATTCCTGACCACATCAGTGTGACATTTGGAAAGATAATGGATAAGATAGCTCCTAAAATCTTCCAGAAAGAAAACTAAGTAACGAGATTCAGATGGGCATAAAAATTGTCATTTAAACCAATGAAGAATAGAAGATACTGGAATAGGGCTCTCATAAATTCTCAGAGAAAACTATTTTGAAGTTAAAATTCTGTACTCGGCACAACTATCTACTTAGCCTGGGCGCCAATTAATGTTTATCTTGCAGAGAGCAGGAGAAATTACTTAAGGGTATTTTCCAGTAAACAAAGATAAAACTGGGAGCTACAAGGTTCAGTAAGAGGAAACGCTAACGGATTCACGAAACACATTGACTTTGACGCTTACCATAACTTCTTATGAGACGCTCAGAAGGTTCAATAGTAAAATAGAGGAAGAGTATCATCACAATCCACTTATAAAATAATTACACAATCCTGATTGTAAACGTTATTTATTGCCTTTTAATTTTAGAACCATTCTAGAGAAACATAGTAATGGCTGCAGAATAAAACACAAATATTCATTATGTGGAGAAAGCAGAGGAGACAGAGGCTGAGATGGAGAAAGAAGTCATGGGAAGTTGGCGTGTTTATGGCTGAACCTTATGCAAAGGGGATGAAGTAAATTTACACACCGCCGAGGAAGATGGTGGTAGTGCTAACAACAGCATGCTTTTTAGTTTCCCCAAATTCTCTCATTAAAACAGAGAGCAACAACCTAAAAATCCATGGACAATATCATAGGCCTCACCTTTGAGTGCATGAGGCTTCTGGAGGACAACCAGATATAAGCCACTATAATATTATTATATTAATATTATTATCCTCCACCGAGGCCCTTTAACTATGCAGCTGAACATGCAAGGACTGAAATTTGTAAAACAGGAGCTAAAATAAATCTCTCCTCCTTTAAGCTGTGGGTGTCAGGTACTCTGTCCTAGCAACGGGAAAAGTGACGAAGACAATCACCACTGACAGATTTTAAACCTGCCATTATAAAAAGGATTGAACAACTGTAAACACTCCTACAGCAAATGTGAGGCTAAATGTATCAGCAAGGTAATAAAAGACAAAGAGGAATAAAATTATGGAACTGAGAAGTACAATAAATCTAGTAAACTCACTGGAGGGACTCAGTAAGAGAGTAAAGATGCAAGAGGAATCCGTCACCTGAAGACAGGTCAGCAGAACTTTCCCAGTCTGGACTATAAAATGGGGAGAGGGCAGTGAGCATGCAGGGGAGTGCGCCTGTGCTTTAGAACAGGGACCAACAGTGCAAGGTCTAACTTTTGTACCATATGACTGCTACAAGGTCAAGAAAGGAAATGTGATATTGGAAAAAGTATTTGAGGAAATACTCGATGAAAACTGTGACTGTGTAAAATTCACAAGACTGTGTACTGAAACTGAAAAAAAGCTTTAGTGTATGTAAGTTAAAAAATATGTAATGGGCACTGTGAGGTGGTAACATGGAACTTTTATTTCATAGTAGTAAGTCCTAGACTTCTTTAATCTTGGGGATTACTGGTTTCACGTTAGTAAGTAATGTTTTAGTCTTTTCCCACATTATTACCTGTACTAAATGATTAATTTGCTATGAATAATGGTGGCAAGATACTTTTTTTTTTCTTTAAATAACTCTTCGTGTGAACAACATAGAACTATAGGGTTGTTTGGTTTTTTTTGTTGGTGGTAGGTTTTTTTGTTTTTTTTTGAGACAGGCTCTCACTATGTACTTCAGGTTGGCAGTGAGCTCACTATGGAGCCCTGGCTGGCCTTGAACTTATGGTGATACTCCTGCCTCAGCCTCCTAAGTATTGGCACTACAGGCGGATGCACCACCACACTTGGCAAAACCACAGTTTAAAAAGTTTCCCAAAAAGTGACAGTACATATTGGAAAGATTATTCATTTATCTAAGAAAATTAACTGAAAATGACCACTACTACCACATGAGGGCTTACTCATTGTACTAAAACTACTGGCCTTCAAAGAAAAGGAAAGAATGTTTTTGGGTACCCAAGCAGAATATCCATTTTTAAGGGAAGGAAAATCAAACTGCTATAGACTTTTTGACAGTAACACTTTATGCCAGGAGAAGATAGAGTAACACACTGATACTTAAGGAAAGAAACATTATATCTAGTCAAACTGACTTTCAAATAGAAGACACAAAGGTCATCAATGTGCAAGAACTCAGTATTATTGCCATGAGCTCTTTCTGAAGAATGTTAACGGAGAAAAACTTTATCAACCCAAGTAATCAGAAAGAAGCAGAAACATAAAGACCTCACAGCAATAAATATTTACTTATAGAACTTAAATGTAGACTGGGGGAGAGCTCAGTATATGATGGCTATATACTCTGACAGTGTAAATGCAATATTTACACTGTAAATACATTCAGTGGAAAATGTTACGCAAAAACAATTAAAAATTTTTTTGGTAATCATATTAATGCTGGCAGTACTAGAAGTGTGGCCTGAGGTTAATATGTACGTATGTAATGTGGCATGAAGCAAGTGAGTAATTATGTGACATTCTAACTCCATTATCCTGTGTCCTGGAGAAGAAACCTTTTCAGTGTGGATAAAAGGAGCTACAGATGTTAGATAAACTTACGTAAAAACCTCATACTCCTGAACTTGAACTACACATGTCAGTATAAATCTAGAAGGCACTTTATCTAAAAATAAATAAATAGAATGTCTCTCCCTCAATCCCTCTTCCTTTCTTTACCCATCCAGCCACCTTCCCACCTATTGATCTATATATGTATGTAATTCTCTTGCTCTGTCACTAAAAACCTAGAGATAATGAATGTACATTTTTAGTACATGATCAGAGTATGCCCTTGAAATATCATTTTCCTCTAACAGAAACCAGGGCTGAGCAGAAGGTGTTCAAAATGAGCCTGAACCATACTGTCGCACTAAACAGGCAGGAAGCCATCGAGTTTACTGAGATGTCAAAAGGATTCAGGAACCAACTAAAGGGCCCCACAGTAGTCAAAAATGACAACATGAGCATCGGTAAGAATAGTAACTGTGATGTGTTAACATACATAAAACTGTTTAAATCCATGAATTAATCATGATTTTTAAAAGAACAGCCAGAAAGATCACCTGTAGAGGAGGATAAGAACATAATTTAGTATTCTGAAAGCTGGAGAACAGAGGTTAAAATAAGCAGCCATTTTAGATTTCCTACACAAAACTGCCACTTTGTAACCAAACACATAATACATGACAAGTAATTTCTAACTATAGAAATATTCCAGCTAAGAGACAAGGAATGAGAGAGCCAGAATATCACTATTTAGCAACTACTAGACATTAAGGGTTGTTAAAATTTTTAAAAAAGTGACAAAAACTACCATGTGTTTCATGACAGAGCAAACTATGAGGTAGTCTCACCAGAAAGGAAAAGATCAAACGTAAATTTGATCAGTTCTTCAGTCAACTACCACATGGCAGGAAATACAGAAAAGAGGAATATCACATGTGTATAATGAGCAGAATCTAGACAGCAGAAAAATCAAAACAACAGAAATTAAAATAATACAAAAATATTTTGAAATCAGTATTGATCAGTTTCTTCAATACATAAACTAAACTACACAGGCAGGAGGTTTTAGTTTCTTTGATCTTTTTTCAGTTATGTGTATTTACTACTTGATAAACATTTGCCATTTTAAGAAATATCTGCTGGCATCTGACTAAACTATGGGCTCTGTGAAGGCAAAGGCACGGTTTCCATCTACAGCGCCTCAGTGCCTGGTATGCTAGCAGGTGTTTTATACTAATAGATATTAGCTGAATAAGCAAATCAGCACATTAATAAGATGATCAAACCATCCTAACTTGGTGATATGAGGGGAAGAAAATAGTAGGAGTTAGCAAAAGAGAGAAAACGTAACTATTTCTACAAATTTACCTTTTCTGGACTTTGATGATATTGAGCTAATGTAGTCCTACTCTTAACTGCTATCTACAGAAATTCTTGATTTACTGATTAATCTTAAATTTCTAACTTCTTTTAAGACATATTTATAAAGAGAAACACTAAATAATTATATGTTATATCAATGTTTATTTATTTATTTATTTATTTTGGGTGTTTTTGAGACAGGGTCTCACTATGCAGTTCAGGCTGGCCTTGAGCTCACTTTGTAGCCCAGACTGGTCTCGAACTACCAAAGATCCTCCTGCCTCAGCCTCCTGAGTGCTGGGATTACAGGCTGAGCCACCGCGCTTAGCTTAATGTTACTTTTTTAAACCCAAGTTTATGTTCCTCAAATCCATTGCTATCACATCTGGCTCCAAGACACATATTATATACAGAACAGTGGATTGAATATTTGTTCACACAGGACGCATGAGAAATACACTGGAGCTTACATTCCCTCTCCTATTCAAAGCTTCCAGAAAAGCCTAGAGAGTTAGAGAAACTAATTAAATGGCCATCATAAAAAGCCAATAAATTCTGTAGAAACATCACTAACTTACCCAAAACAACTCTAAAGTCCTCACCATCCAAGTTCATTACCCATGTATTGGTAGTTTTTGATCTATTTTCCATATACTTCTTGAGGCTCTTCCCGTTAATTTCCAGAGTATATTCATAAGCAAAACCACTGACAGCATCTATATTTATGGTTGCTTTTGTCTTTGCAGCTCCAACACAGAAGGTTTCTTTGCCCACTAATTTGAACATCCATTCTCTTCTTATTTCTTCCTATGTTGTAAAATATAAGTTTAAAACATGTGAATGGAAGAAATATTAATATTTAATATTAGTAATGACATAAAATGTCCAAGTGACCAAATAGCAACCTTATATATACTTTTATTAACTCATAATGCCAAGGTTTTAGAAAAGAAAGCCACTTTATATTTATGAATTCTATGACTATTTTGTTTGCTTTATACAACGAAGTGACTGAAACCAAAAACATAAAGATAATCACTGTTAGAAAAACCCTTTGATTTCGCATAAGAAACTACATTAACAGAATCATGACATGGCTTCTCTGTAACCATGCTTTGCAAAGTGACGCTTTCTTACCTTTCCATCTACATATACTACTCGTTTGCCCGATGTGGTCCCATGCTCGAACTCAATCTTGTGGACTCCATCACTCAAAGCCACATCCCAAACAGCTACGAAATCTGTCATTTTCTCCAGGCTATAAGGAGGACTACAGAGATAAAATAAAGCCGTTAGAGTGGACCCCAAACAGCAACACAATAACCAATAACCAATGAACCTCCCTAAGATGAAAACATCAGATATTTAAAGGCTTTAAAATTACAAAGGATGAAGGCGACAGACATTTCCTAAGAAATCCTACTCACAGCACATGTAATTATTTTCTCCCGCTTACTCTTCCTTGAGACACAACAGCTATGTACAGGTATACAGTATGATAATTCCAAACAAAGTGACCCTAATACTAATAGGATTAAGAATATATCAGTTTATCCTGGATAGTATTCTAAGTTAGGCTACTGTTTCATACATGAAGAGGTTAGTAAAGATTCTATCCATTACCCAATCTGCATTTAAAAAACATAGTATTAAATGTTTTTTCTCTTCTAGATCTGACGCCAAAGCAAGAATACTCCAAACTTTTCACATAACGACCAGGGATTTGTTTTTAACAAGAAGGGTCCTAATTTGTTATACTAAAACAAAAAAAAGCAGCTATGGAAAATAATAATAATAAAAATAATCCTATAATAAAGATTAAAATAATATAAAAATATTTTGAACATTTAATTCTTGAATTATTCTGGGAAAACATTTAAAAATACAGGATTCTAGCTTTTCAAAAATTTGCCGCATAATTTAAACATTTTTAGATCAATATTTTAATATAAAATACATGGTATGTCAATGTAAATGACGTTCTATGTAATAATATATAACTAATATTTTGATATGGACATAGATTACTAGCACTGAGGGAAGTAAGCAGTAGTAACGATCGTAGCTGGGAGCAGCTGTTAATGTGCTTTCCATGTGCCAGGTCTAGTCTGAGCTTCATGTGTATTAACTCATAGAAGCTGCCAGGTGCTATCAGTATACTACTGCACAGGTGAGGCTCAGAGGAGCTACGAGTTTGTCTAACATCACAATGACACTGCATGGCAGAGACAGGATTTAAACCCAGGACGCTGGCTCCAAGGTCTGTTCTCTTAGTAGCTTCCTCTCTGTTCATTTTCTTCTTTGTTTTCTTTTGTTGAGACAGGATAACACTGTGCAGTTCAGCCTGGCCTTAAACTCACTATGTAGACCAGGCCAATCTCAAGTTTACAATGATTTTCCTGCCTCAGCCTCTGGAGTGCTGGAATTACAGGCAAGTACCACCACATGAGGTGGTTCATTCTTTCTTCCTGGTTTTGGTTTTGGTTTTTTTCTTTTTCTTTTTTTTTTTTTTTTGAGACAGGGTCTCACTGTGCAATTCACGCTGGCCTGGACTATGTAGTCCAAGCTGGCCTGGAACTCATGGCGATCCTTCTGCCTCAACTTCGTGAGTGCTGGGATTATAGGCATGCGCTACCACACCTAGCTCCAGCAGTTCATTCTCATCTTGTCCTTTGTATGCTTCAAATCACAGACTGAAATTCCATTTTGAAGTGTTTGTCAAGAATTTTTGCTGAGCGGACTTGCATGGTCATGGTGACCATGTCCATGTAGGTATTTGCCACCCCTGCTCCACATTATAAAGCAGAGCCATGCATTCTTCAATATTACAAAACATTTCCTTCGCAGAGTACCTTGGATAAGTAACAGTGTGAATGACTGCAACAATCGACAGTTTCAAAACCTAGTTTTATTCCAATGCAAGACATTTACCTTTCATCATCTTCAAAGATAGGACTGTCACCTCCAGATGCCATGGTTGGCAAAATAGTCTCTTAATCCAATTAGCAGCCAGGAAAGAAAAAAGCAGAATTGCGGCAAAGGAAGATTGAGAGCAACAAAGATGACATCTACAAAGGGTTTTTCTAACTTCGCATTGCATTTCTTAAATTGCAAGCAGTTTCTGATGAAACACCTTTAATTTTCAGAGAAAGAAGACAGATCATACAAATCATATTTTCTCCTGTTAAGGACTTATAATTTCTTAAAAGTGTAATTTTTAAAAAATAGAAAATAAACTCTAGTTTATTTCAAGTCTTAACAGCATATCAGAGCTGCAAGAGCCCTGTGTAAGACCCTGTGGGTCCTATTGTTCCTAAAATGAAGCTCTAGAGGTCCCAAGGATTTGAGGGAGTGGAGCAGAGAATACATAAAACTCTTAAACACGATGCTTCTTCTAGAAGCAGCAAGATTACAGGGTAGTAACTAATTTATAATTTGATCTTTACAGTACATTTTACACTCTTAAATATTTTCTAAAATAAATGGTGAACTTATAGGAAGTAGCCATGGATATACTGATTTACTTTCTAAAAGTAATCAGTTTACCCACTTACTTAAGCCTATTTAATTTACTAGTAGCCAGTTAGATTCCCGGTACCAAAAAAAAAAAAAATTTAGTAGTGGCAATAATGAATCCACAAAAGTTGTGGGACTCACTTGGTAACTAGCAGGGCTAGAACTAGAACCTAGAACTGTGCAATGAAGTAAACAAGTAATTGGTCGCAGCACTAAAATCTGATGCACACATATACTCATATGCATAGGAAACCCTCTGCATTAGAAGATTTGGGGCAAACAGGCCCCTGCCAAACTATCATAAATTCAATTAGTTTTATTCCATGATCTATTCTAGCTTCAGCCTTTTCCTGAATAAATGTCTTTTCCCTATTGATGCCTTAAGTGTACTATCTTCTTGCTAAAAATGAAAGACTGACAAATTTCTATGGTTGGAAAAGCCAAATGTCACAAATTTGTTAAAATAATATTAAATTAGAAGATATTAGAACCCATAAAAACAATCCAATGAGCAGCAAGCAAAGAAATGCTAAGAATTTTAGAGTAAAAACTCGGTAAAGATATGTACCTAAAAGAAATCCTTCTTTTTTAATTAGCACCCTACAAATCTGTGAAATTTTCTGGTCTTAAAAAGCCCTAGGATATTCCTTCAGACCTGGAGGGTATCTTGTTACTGTGAAAACAAAACATATAATAAATATATATAGAGAGAATAAGCCAAATAGTATACTTAAAAAGCTTGATAAGGCATCCTTGGTAATCTGAGGGGATTTAAGGGTGTCAGATTTTGCTGTACAACTTTTAGAGATTCTAGAAAGTTCAGTAACACAGCATTCAAACCTGAATCACCCCTTTTTTATTATATAGAACTTCAAATTTTACTAAGTAACACTAAGATAAAGCATTGAACTTTCTTAATACCTTTTCATAAAGAATATAAAAGACAACAAAGTTGTAAAGGAAGTTAGAAACCAGGGTTTTATTTGTAATAAATTCAACTACTAACATTCACTCATGCATTCAGTAATTATTGCTGGACTACCTAAAATTAGCAATTTTTCATTCTTTAATAATTGATAGCATACAGTGTAATTAGGAGATAACTACATATCAGGATTAGAATAAGCATCAAAGCAACTATCTGTCAAGTTTGAAGCCATCTGATTCTACTGTTTATCAAAACCGATGTTTTTATAAACACAAGTTCCCAGAACAATATAAAATTGTTTCTTTGCAGGTTTTTCAATAGACATGAGTAAATTTTAAAAAGGCTTTAATGCAAAGTTAATAGTATTTCAATTTTTCTTGTCCATGTTCTCCACTAGTTTAAGCAGAAGACTGAAAAGATAATTATAATTTATTTTTTGTGGTACTGCGGAGTGAACCCAAGGCCTTGCACATACTAGGCAAGTGCTCTACCACTGATACACACCAAACCCTATAAAACCTTTTTATTTTATTCCTGTGAAGCTTAATAGAATAGTTGGTATATAAAAGACTACAATGCTTCAAATTCTGAGCCATTCTCAAAGGCAGAGATTAACTGAAAAACATTTTCTTTGCAAGGATTAAAGTGAGCACTATCTCTTTAACAGCAATAATTAAAATATGAGACTCATACAATTTTCATTGGAAAATATGAGATCAGGTAGTGTAGTCTCCCTCTAATTATGGGGAAATCAAGGTAATAAGATACTTCTTTATATGTCACCCCCACCACTGGTCCTAGACGTCTTTTTTCAGACAGGATCTTGCTATGTAGTCCAGGGTGGCCTTGAACTCCTCACTATATAGCCCTGGTTCCTTAAAACTCATCATTCTCCTGCCTCAGCTTCCTGAATTGACAGGTGTACACCACCATGCTTGACTCTGGGCTCCTTCCTATCCAACTTTCTAAGGCTGTGGAGAGACCCAGTAATGTAATGTGAATAAGGACAAATTCCCATATGATGCTATCCTAAAGAGTACTGTCTATCATCAAATCTCATGTAATGTTTAAGAAAACTGTCCACAGTCAAGTCTGCAAAAGCTCTGCTTTGGCACTTCTTTCTTACTTCAGGAGGGTCACTGGTACATGTTTCATTTCAATCTCTGTACTTTAAAATTTAATTGGAATTTGCTCTCTTGGCTCAGAAGTAGGGAAGCATATGTAGAATATACTCTCAATAGCTATAAATACAACTTGTTAACAAACTGATATCTGTTTTGGTCATTTATGTCAGGGACAACAAAAATCACTCATCAGTCGCTTAGATGCTATTAGCAATATGACGAATATGCCCCTGTTCTTAAAGAATTTATTTATTTCAATTAACATTCAGTCAATTTAGGAACTAAGTACCCCTATCAATTTCAAAACTTACTACAAATGTACAGTAATCAAAACAGAATGGTGCTGGTACAAGGATAGATATAAAACAGTAGGAAATACAAATTCAGAAATAAATCTGTATGTCTGTGGCCAGCTGAATTTGACAATGGTGCCAACTCTTATCAGTGGAAAAAGAAGTCTCTTCAGCAGATGGAATGAGGACAATTTGATTTCCATATGCAAAAGAATATAGCTGGACCCCTATCTCACACCATATATAAACATTACCTTAAAATGGATCAGTGATTCAAACATAAGAACTAAAATCACAAAACTCTTCA